GTTATCTAGTGATGACTCCACCGATAAGAGCATGAGTGATTTTCGGCTATGCGAAGATTCACTAAGTTCCGAGAGATTTCATCCCAATGACATCAGTGATGCTCATGCATGCCCCTTAAATATGCGCACATGCACACAGACAAAAAACAATTGGATCCGAGAGACGACAGGGATGTAACACGAACAGAACTGCCGTGCTAGCCGTCGAATCATACTGGACATGATATAAGGTAGCACCATGTTTGAGTCTGCTGGTCCGTGAAGTCAATTCGGTTCAACTAAACCTGGTTTCTGTGAACCGCACTGATGGGTATTCACCAAAATGTTTCAGTTCAAGACACATGCACATCAGCAATACCACCAATTGTGCATTTATTTCAGGACAATTACATAAACACGCGTCATGTGCACGCTAATCACATCAGTTAGTTACGGACTCGAAAGGACACGTTATATATCCAAAACCTTGTTGCTGAGGCATCGCATTTTAGGCACGAACACCACAGGTCACCGTTAACAGCCTGCGAACACTTACTCGATCAGACAAAATCCACCTATTTGCGGTGGACTGACGAGAGAGCTGTTGTTTCTTCTGCGTCCGACAGGATTTGTCTCGGTTAGCTGTAATCGTCGGGTATTTTACGGCCTAGCCTGGCTTGCTCACCGAATACAACCGTTGTTGGATGGAAACGAAAACTGGTGTTGAGTGCAAACCGATAGCGAGGATCTGTCTTGTTCGAACAATACATTCCCCTCCACCCGGCGATGCGGATCGAGGAAACGAGGACCGGTTACCAAAACGCACGGCAAACAAACGCAAACGGTACGCATCTCAAAGCATGTGGCGCTTTTTTAAAAAGACGATCAGAGTTCTGAACAGTCATTTTATGCTTGCGTATTTGTACTTTCGTGGGCATGTGTGTATGATTGAGCAATGTCTAACACGTTTGTCTATGAGCAAGACAGGAAAGGCTTCTTGAAAACCCAAACGATTTCCAATCGTAGTTCATGTGCTCTGACAATCATCAATCGCTGGGAAGCACTCACTGGACAGCTGTTTCGACTCGGTTGGGTCTCATCAGCAGTGCGATCCCGTCGACCCAACTGGGGATCAAACCTGGGGTCTCACAGATATATAGGTATATTCGAAATGAGAAACGGTTCGATCAGCCACCTGGTGGCCGAGTAGGTAATATCCTTGCTTTTCTATCTGTGAGGTCCCGGGTTCGATCCCCAGTTAGGTCGATGGATTCGCACTGCTGATGAGACCTAACCAGGTCGAAACATCTGTATAACGTGCTCCCCAGCTTTTCAGCTCACGCCTCATTTACACGACGAATTCACTATATAAACAAATCAAATCCTCCAATAATCTCAATCATCAATCGCCTTGCACTATTTTGATCCATTCCAAATGTGCACCACAGAAACGAAAGACGTATAATAAAACAAGCATTGGATACGGGTGGGATACGATCTAAACCCACACGTGGTAATAAACGATGCTTCGGCGGCATGCGCGGATTCTTGATCATCCGAATATCACTTCTGTTGGTTACGGAACACGAGCTCATCACCGCATTGAGAGCAACATAAAAAATATATCTTCACTCGGCGTGAAAAAAAGTCTAGCTGAAATAAATCAATTTTGGTACAAAATAAAAAGAACAGAAGCACAACGGGATGAATTATTCGTTCAATATATAGCATCATAAACCGATCGATGGTGTGGGAGAGGAGGAAAAACAGATGCATGGACCAAATCTTGTGTGTGTGGAAAAGACAGACTAGTGTAAAGTGCAAGAAAGAACAAGGAAAGAACTGTGCCTACCCGGCTGTTGACGCAGGAAACGCAAATGCACTGATTCGATTTCCTCGGTCGGTAGAACGGTGACTGGGCCGAATCGGAGTCCCCGATTGGTCGGTGTGCTTCGGACACAAACATCTCGGTTACCACTTGCTCGCACAGCATCCAGCAACGAAGCGATTAGAGCATCCCTGATTTGGGGGCGGAGGGGGGGACGTAAATTTGATAAAAAGTAAGATGTATTTGTTGTAAAAAAAAGAAACTTGAGGGTTAGTTTATCGGACTGTTAATGACAGATGTCAAAGAATGAGACGAAAGAGAACACACCTTTTAAAAAAATGGACAGAATGCGTTGTGAGGAGCAATGCGAGCATCAGACGGAAAGGACGGATGTTTGTCATTCCAAATCACAGAATCGCTATTGCACAAGGACAATGACTAGACAGATTTAAAACGGGATTTTACGTGACTAGAGGATCACTATTATACATGTGAACGGTTATAAAAGTCAGAGAACGTATCCAGTACCACTTATCTTGCACCATACAAAACTTGAAGATCCCAAGACTAAGGTGATC